TGGGCGGTCTTTATTTTATCACCACAGATGGGGACCTCAGGGACACAGAGTGGGGCATCTGGGACAATGAACTCTGCAATGCATAGGAAAGTCCAGTTTAATAAATAATTTGCCTGTGACCCCTAGGACATTCCAAGACTGGGTATCATATTTTGTCCTGTGTGAGGGGGTAGGGGGTTATTTTAATGCCTCACTTCTTAATATGACCTAGTTTATTGAAGAGGCTATTTTCTTTCATTTTTATACTTTGATGGTCTTTACTTCCTCTTGGGATATTACCATTATTAAGATTCTACCCCTCTGTTTCTTATCAGGTGCAAACAAGTGCTGTGGGTTGTCATTCATCCAACACTGGTTTCATTGTGCACACTGGCACCCCTGCTCCTTGATTCCCTGATCTTCTAAGTAAAAATGAACACATGGACTTTGACAAGTTACTGTCATCTTATGCTTCTCTGCTTACTAGCAAGCACTCAGCCCTGAACTACATCCCCGGACCTGTTTTTTATTTTCAGACAGAGTCTTGCTAATTTGTCAAGGCTGACCCTGAACTCCCTCTGTAGCCTAGGCAGGCCTCAAATTTGTTACCCTCCTGTCCAGTCTCTTGAACAGCAAGGATTCCAGGTCTGTGGCAGCAGGCCACGCTTTATTTCTTTTTGATAGGGTCTTACAAAGGCACAGTGCTTTGCTGGGGTCACCCAGCTTTCTCACGAGGGTTGATGACTGCGACCTTTCACCCCTCTGATTTCCCATATGTTTGTTTATCCTGTCATCGGGGCCCTAAGGAAATCAGACTTGTAGAAAAGGTAGTCCCGGGCTGGAGAGATGGCTCAGCGGTTAAGAGCACTGGCTGTTCTTCCAGAGGTCCTGAGTTCAATTCCCAGCAACCACATGGTGGCTCCCAACCATCTGTAATGAGATCTGGTGCCCTCTTCTGGCCTGCAGGGATATGTGCAGACAGAACACTGTATACATAACAAATAAATAAATCTTTAAAAAAAAAAAGAAAGAAAGAAAAGGTAGTCCGTACTCTCCAGGGGAGGAGATTTAATGGAAAAGCAGTGGCCAGCTAAGAACCACCCAGCACCACTGATGTCATCAGAGTGGCACAGAAGCAGAGGGACCACTACTGCAGGAGGGACCAGGGACAGAGGGATATCCGGAATAGGTTCACTGGGGAGGGCTTCAGGATGGGTATCAATCTGGCAAGGTGGTGTAGGATGGCTGGAGGAGGCAGCAGGGCATAACTCACTTTGTCCAAACAAAAGCAGCTAGGTTGAAGCCCAGCGTGGTGGCTCTCATCTCTAGGCCCAGCACTTGGCGGGCTGAGGCAGTGTTGTCCTAAGTTTGAGGCTAGCCTGGACTACAGAATGAGACCCTGTCTACAAAACAAAGGAGTTAGTTTTCCTAGAGCAGTGCCCACCCTACTTGGTGACATAATTCAGTGCCAGAACAGGCAGAATGACCCTAAGAGAGACATCACGTGATGCCACAGCTCACTGTCTACGAATTAGAGATAGGAAGGAGAGGAGGTGGGTTAGTACACTAATAGCTAACAGCAAAGGAAGATGTAAATTTATTTTCAGGGCAAATGAAGGGTTTAAGAAAGCTATCGCCGGGCGGTATGCCTTTAATCCCAGCACTCGGGAGGCAGAGGCAGGCGGATCTCTGTGAGTTCGAGGCCAGCCTGGTCTACAAAGCAAGTTCCAGGAAAGGTGCAAAGCTACACAGAGAAACCCTGTCTTGGAAAAAAAAAAAGAAAGCTACCTTTTGTAGCACTGTTTCTGCTAAGGAAGTATTAGAATCCACTGAAATTGCCTGAATCAAGGAAATGGGTGCACACGTCCTGGTACATTCAGTTACTTAGTACACTGTTCATCTAGCCTGCCTCATTCATAAGTCAATACACAGAGAGTGGAGTGTGAAGGGGTGACTAGGGACTAGGGTGACATACCACTGTAGCTTTAAAGGGACATGGGACCTTCAGATGCAATGAAGGGCTCCTGAGTAGACCATGGTTTGAAGAAATCCTGCGTGAAAGAAGTATGGAGAACACCCGAGAAATCTGTATATAGAGTGGGTATTTGTGATTATTAAGAAGTTATTGACTGGGCATGGTAGCTCACGCCTTTAATCCCACCACTTGAGAGGCAGAGGCAGGTGGATCTATCTGAGTTTCAGGCCAACCTGATCTACACAGTTAGTTCTAGGCTAGCCAGGGCTGCATAGTAAGACCCTGTCCAGGAGAGAGAGAGAGAGAGAGAGAGAGAGAGAGAGAGAGAGAGAGAGAAGGAGGAGGAGGAGAAGGAGAGGAAGAAGAAGAAGAAGAAGAAGAAGAAGAAGAAGAAGAAGAAGAAGAAGAAGAAAAGAAGAAGAAGAAGAAGAAGAAATTGTTTTCAAGTTATATATAGAAAATATCCCCTTTGGGATGCCTATGGAAGTATTTACAACAGAAATGTCTTGGTATCTGCAATTTAGTTAAACTATTTCAGCAAAGAAGTAGAAGTCACTAAGACCAAATGTTACTAGTTTTTATGGAGGAGATTAGTATATAGTTATTAGCTTACTCTTTCTATTTTTCCAAGTGGTTGATAATTCCCATAGCAAAAATTAAATTAAACCTGGCACGGTGATGCATGCCTTTAATCATAACACTCATGAGGCAGAGACAGGCGGATCTCTGTGAGTTTGAGGCCAGTCTGGTCTACAGAGCGAGTTCTAGGACAGCCAGAGCTACAAAGAGAAACTCTGTCTTGAAAAACCAACCAACCAAACAAACAAACAAATAAGGAAAGAGAAAGCAAATGCTTATGAATAATTTTAAGAACAGAGAAAATTACTTGTGATATCAGGTTAGTTGAAAGAAAAGCAGGAATCAAAACCTAACTGTGGTCTTCCCACCGTTTTAAAAACGAATAAGCACAAGCCATGAAAGATTCACGACGGGTTTCACACACTTTACAACTGATCTCCCACAACTAACTGTGCAGCAATGGTGCTGAGACCCCAGGCCTGCCCACTCTAAAACCCGAACCCCAGACATGCCTGTTCAAAAATCTGTTCTTTTCTATTAGCAGCCGTAGGCTTTCTCCATGAGCAACCAGATAGTAAATATTCTTGTTTTGCTTTGCTATGTAGCCTGGGCTAGCCTGGAACTATGTAGCCTAGACTGATCCTAAACATTCTATAGTGTTTCATACACCTTGAACCCAAGGTCGTCTTCCTGCCTCACCTCAAGAGAGCTAGGATAGCGGGCATGAGTCATCACACCCAGGGCAATACTTTCAGTTTTGAGAACCACATGGTCTTTATCACAACTACAGTGGTGCTGTTGCAGTAGGATCTAGAAATCACGAACAGTGCATAACCAAATAAATGTGGCTATATGTTCCAATAAAGCTTTATTGACCAAAACAACTGTTGGGCCAGGTTTCTGTTAGTAGCATTTCCAACCTGTGGCCCAGGGGGCCACCTGAACCCCAGGATAGATATGAGTGTGGCCCAAGATGAGATGGTAAACTCAAAACGTTATGAGGGGTGTGTGTGTGTGTGTGATTTTCTTTTTTTGGGGGGGATTGAGTAATTCAGTTGCAAGGTTCTTAAGAATGAACTGTAGATGATAATGTCATACAGAAATGTCAAAAGTTTGGACCCGCCTGTGCCCCTCCCTTCTTATGAGATGCTGACCTTGAAGAACTCAGGACAGATACACAGAGACCTTGTTGAGGGACAGGACAAAGAAGGAATTGTACTTAATTGCAATTCTCTCCTCTATACTTCTTGGCACTTGTCTGTATTTCCTTAACTCTTCAACTTGCATTGTTATTTTTATGTATTAGCTTTAAATATGTATATCGATTTATTTTTCCAACTCTTTTTCTACTTATTGTCTGGGCAACAAGTATTCCATTGCACATTTGCAAAGTTCTAAGCTGCGAGGACACTAAGGCTTCACTGTGAGAGGCCTCCCCACTTCTAAGCCACCTACATCCCTCCCCCACAGGCAACTAATGTTATTCCATTCTCTGTATTCTCCAAAGAGATGTTAGCCACATGCAGCTAAGTCAACAGAGCCACTGTGTTGGGCAACTCTCAGGGACACCATTTGTATTGCACTCCTGGGCTGCTACTGACATAGGGTAAAATGGGATTGTGTTCCCTGAGCTGCACAGCAAAGGGGTCTAACCAAGGATAGTTGTTAGCACATGTACACATGATGGCACACTTGCATATTCATGTAGGTACATTTTATATATATATATATATATATATATATATATTTATTTATTTATTTATTTATTTTTATAGATCGAGCTATCTGTCTATCCATCTATCCATCCATCCATCCATCCATCCATCCATCCATCCATCTCTACAGACACAGTGTATTTTTTACTATCCTCTTTCTTGGAACTAAGGTTAGCATGTTGTACACATTGCTGTGTATTTTGACCTCCCCCCCTACCACTTACTAATGTATCTTGACACTTTTGTTACATCAGTTTATAAACTGTCCTCTGGTTTGAGGATGGGGATAATGGATGGTAACCTTAGGGTGTCTTCCTCTGGAGTTCTTTATGTGCCAGCATTGTCCTAAGCACAATGCTGGTATCAACTCCTACAGTACTCAAGATGGCACTGAACTCATGATCCTCCCGCCTCTGCCTCCTAAGTGCTAGGATTAGAGGCATGAGCTACCACAGTTGGCTTTATTTCAACTCTTTTTTTTTTTTTTTTTTTTTTTTTTTTTTTTTTTGGTTTTTCGAGACAGGGTTTCTCTGTGTAGCTTTGCGCCTTTCCTGGAACTCGCTTTGGAGACCAGGCTGGCCTCGAACTCACAGAGATCCGCCTGGCTCTGCCTCCCGAGTGCTGGGATTAAAGGCGTGCGCCACCACCGCCCGGCCTATTTCAACTCTTTTATATCAAACTGAAACAATGGGTTTAAGCACTCATTAAAAAAATAACTGCCCTCCCCTCCCCGTCACCAAACTCTTAGCAACCACCGTTCTACCATTGTCATGAATTTGACCCCTCTGGGAACCTCCTATAGGTGGAATCATGCACTATTACCTCTTCTCTATTTGGCTTCTTTCACTTGACATAATGTCCTCTAGCCACTTACATTACACTATACTTATTACATGTATTATTTTTCATCTTTTTTATGTAGGGGTAATATTACACTGTATGTCTATACTGCAGATAAGCATTTGTTTATCTACTCATGTATTGATGGGCTCTTGGGCAGTTTCTACTCTTTGGATACTGTGATGGTGTTGTTGTGAACATCTGTGTACATCATATTCATTTCATGTAGCTGGAGAGTTTTTTCTCCAGGTCCCGCCAAGCCCCAGCAGTCTGACAGCCCACTTATAAAATAAACACACAGACGCTTATATTATTTAAACTGTTTGGCCTAATGGCTCAGGCTTCTTGTTAACTGTTCTTATATCTTAAATTAACCCATTTTTATAAATCTATACCTTGCCACGTGGCTCGTGACTTACCGGCATCTTCACATGCTGCTTGTCATGGCGGCGGCTGGCAGTGTTTCCCTCTGCCTTCCTGTTCTCTCAATTCTCCTCTCTGTTAATCCCGCCTATACTTCCTGCCTGGCTACTGGCCAATCAGTGTTTTATTTATTGACCAATCAGAGCAACACATTTGACATACAGACCATCCCACAGCAATTTCACAATTATTTTTTACTAGGAATGTGTCTTAGGGTTTCTATTGCTGTGAATAGACATCATGACCATGGCAACTCTTATAAAGGAAAACATTTAATTGGGTGGCTTGTAATTCAGAGGTTGAGTCCATTATCATCATGGTGGGACATGGCAGTGTGCAGGCAGACATGGTGCTGGAGAGGTAGCTGAGAATTCTACATCTTGTGCAGGCAACAGGTAGTGGTGAGACACTGGGTGTGGCTTGAGTGTATATGAGACCTCAAAGCCCACCTCCACAGTGACACACTTCCTCCAACAACGCCACACCTACTCCAACAATGCCACACCTCCTAATAGTGCCACTCCCTTTAGGGGCCATTTTCTTTCAAACCACCACATTCCACTCCTTGGCCTTGTAGTCATATCATAATGCAAAAATGCATTCAGTCCAACTTCAAAAGTCTTCATAGTCTATAACAGTCTCAACCTTATTTAAAAGTCTAAAGATCAAAGTCTCTTCTGAGATTCATGCAATCTCTTAACTGTAATTGCCTGTAAAGTCAAAATAAAAAAGCAGATCACTTATTTTCAACGTATAATGACACAGGATGTACATGACCTTTCCAAAAGGATGGAAACGGAGCATAGTGAGGAAATACTGGACCAAAGCAAGACCCAAAACCAGCTGATCAAACTCCAAACTCTGCATCGTCATGTCTGATGTTAAAGTGCTCTTCAGGTCTCCAACTCCTTTCAGCTTTGTTGACTGCAACACACTTCTTTCTCTTGGACTGGTTCCATTCCCCGTTAGCAGCTTTCCTCAACCGGTATCTTACGGCTCTGGCATCTCCAACATCTTGGGTCTCCAAGGCCAATCCAAGCTTCTCCTTCACAGCTTCACACAATGACCTCTCTGGGCCTCTATTCAAGGACACCCCTGACACATGCCTGGCCTCAGCAGCTTTCCTTAGTCTTGGGGGGAAATTCCATAGTTCCTTTCTCCTATCCTTAACTCCAGAACCCTGTGGCCAAAGCTGCCAAGTCTGCTGCTTACTGGGGCTGAAACATGGCCCCTCATTCAATTACATCTTTACCAGCTTTATGTTTTCCATGGTTTCCTTCACTGCTTAAGCTTGGCTGTCCTGGAACTTGCTCTGTAGACAAGGCTGGCCTCAATCTTAGTCTGTCTCCCAGGTGCTGGGATTAAAGGGGGTGCACAGCCACACCTGGCTTTAAGCTTTTCTTTAATTCTTTTTCACAAGTTGGAAACTTAGCAGGTAGGATCCTGCCCTGAGATCACCACTCCTTTATTCCATTTCTTAATCCGTTTATCTCCTTGAACACGGGATTTAGCTCTATTCCGCTTCCTGGTGCCCCTTTTCTCAATCTGTACATTTTGTATTTTTATTTTTATTTATTTTTTTTTTTGATTTTTCGAGACAGGGTTTCTCTGTGTAGCTTTGCGCCTTTCCTGGAACTCGCTTGGTAGCCCAGGCTGGCCTCGAACTCACAGAGATCCGCCTGGCTCTGCCTCCCGGGTGCTGGGATTAAAGGCGTGCGCCACCACCGCCCGGCCATTTTGTATTTTTATTTGCTCAGCGTGCTCCTTTTCCTTTGAAATCTTCATCAGAGTTACCACTAGTAACCACACAACAGAGTCTATACTGGGCTATTTTGAGATTTCCTCTGCCAAGGGAATTAATTCAAAACTCTTCACTTTATCCTCAGGCAGACTCTTAGGACAAGGGCAAAAAGCAGCCACATTCTTCACCAAAAGATCGTAATACTGGTCTCCCAACCACACACTAGCATTCTTTTCCTCTGAAACCTCTTGAGTCAGCCCCCACAGTTCAAATCCCCCTAGCAGCACTGTCCTCCAGGCTCCTACCAGGATGGCCCATTAAGCAGCACTTACATTATTCACCTGCTTTTCTAATCCAGTCCCAAGGTCCGTATTCCTTCAAACAAAAGCATGATCAGGCCTATCACAGCAATACTCCAGTCCCTGATACCACCTCCTGCCTTAGTTAGGGTTTCTATTGCTGTGAAGAGACACCATGACCATGGCAACTCTTATAAGAGTTTAACCAGGTGGCTTACAATTCAGAGTCTATTATCGTCATGGTGGGACATGGCAGTGGGCAGGCAGACACGGTGCTGGAGAGGTAGCTGAGAGTTCTACATCTCGTGCAGACAACAGGTAGTGGTCTGAGAAACTGGGCATGGCTTGAGCATATATGAGACCTCAAAGCCCACCTCCACAGTGACACACTTCCTCCAACAAGACCACACCCACTCCAACAAAGCCACACCTCCTAATAGTGCCACTTCCTTTGGGGGCCATTTTCTTTCAAACCACCACAGAATGTGTATGTTTAGTTTCATTTTTGTCTTATTTTGTTTAGGTTTATTTTTGTATTTTATTTTATTTATTTCTGCATGTCCTGAGCCCCTGTGCCCACAGGCCATGCACCTGCCCACTCGGTGATGTTTCTTTTACAAGTTGAGTGGGGAGCCGGATTTACACAGGATCGGATCCCTGCCTGGCTCCCTGTGTGATGCACCACCCGCTCGCTCTCCATGCCACTCCAATCAAATGCTCTGCAGCCTGATGTTTTGTGAACAAGTTCACATTCGCACCTTTCACTGAGTCTCGTGTTCATCCTGGCTATTTCTAAGGACTTCAAATCCACTTTTTCAGCTAATGATCTCCGAACACACGCTTCGTCTTAGGTGTGTATAGAGAACAAGACCGGCAAGGTCAGTACTCTTGTGAATGGGAGTGAGAAGCGGGCAGTGAGTGAGGGAACACGAATCAACACCATAACTGCACAGGGCGAGAAGTGCTAAGGAAAAAAAACAAACAGGATAATGTGATAGGAAGTGATGTGAGGTGAGGTGGGGAATATTTTCCATTTAGGTGTTCAACTTCTCTTCCCCTGGACTTTACAGACAGTTGCTAAAGTCTGGAAACAGCCTTCCTGTGTCAACACGCGCACCCTGTAATTTCAGTGATCATCTCTTGAATGTATCCCTTTTCTCGGATGATATTTTAATGTGGGCTTTTCTGAAAACAAAGCTGCCCTTTGGAAGAGTATTAAGGAAATTTGAGGCTCATTCGTTCAACAAATACTGGCTGAGCTCCCGTGCCATGTTCCAGAACGTTCCAGGCATCAGACCTGTGGCAACGAACAAGACAGTTGAAGCTCTGCTTGCACAGAGTTTCCAGATAACTCACTAGCAAGGAAAAAAAAAAAACTCTACTTGGCTAACAGCTCATTTTGAGAAGGGATGGGACTGAGGTTGCAGAAAAAGTTGACGGAGGTCAGAGCACGTAAGGCCCAGGCCCAGGGGTTCCGTGCAGTGGGGAGCGATGGGAGGCATCCATTTACATTCTGTAAAGTCCGCTTTGGCCACCATGATGGGACCAGGAGGCAAGGAGGACTGGTGGGCCTCTGTGAATACCCCACCTACGAAAGAAGCCGGCACACAAAAGACACGCAGGGCACACTGGGAGTTGGGGCTAACCGCTCGGGTGTGTGTGTGTGTGTGTGTGTGTGTGTGTGTGTGTGTGTGTGTGTGTGCTTACTTTGCATGCACAAGGCCCTGGGTTTAATCTCCGGTACCACCACTGGATGAAGGATGTGGGGAATTTAGGTTCAAGACCGGGCTGGTCAGATCCAGAAGCCGATGAGGGACTCAGGTGCAGAGGAAGGACTCTTGAGAGGAGGCACCGGCCAGGGCCGTTGGTTGTAATTTCCCCCAGTTGGCTTCAGTCACCAGCTTGGTTAAATGGAAAGTTTGAACCATCTGCGAGTAATCTGCATGCCTTTACTCACCTGCCTACCCACTCCCTCCCACAGAGGAGGAGGAAGAAAGAAGCCGAGCCCGGAGCCGGCACGGCTGCCTTCTCCACAATCATGTCTCTGTATTACAGTTCCTGTCACCTCACATTACACATGAATAACTAATCAACCAAACACAAGCCCACTGATGAAAAAAACAAGGCGTGTTGGATCTGGAGTGTGAACAGGGTAAAGAGTAATATTAATCCCACTGGTAAATAACAAAATGGGAGCAAACAGAAGGGATGTGAAGACCAGAAATGTGCCGAGGAGCACTCCCGGAAGAGAAAACCTCCCGTGAACAAGGTGGAGGGGGCCCACAGAAGGAGGTCTTCATACTCGCATCACAAAGATTTTTTTTTTGGCCCTTCTGTGTGACCATAAGGAATATCACCCAGGATCAGCTAGCTCTACTGGCCACTGAAACTCCACTCTGCCTGCCTCCCTCATTTTTACACAAGTCCCATCATGGTCTCCACTATTCCCTAGCTGTCATAAAGGTTATTCTGGTCACTAACTAGTACTAAAGTGGGAGCCAACAGAATTATTAGCTGTTTGAACTGTCATAACAGGTGGCAATATTCTGAGTGTATAATAGGTGTCTAATAAATGCACACTTCCAAGCCAGGCATGGCAGCACACCTTTAATCCCAGCACTCAGGAAGCAGAGGCAGGTAGAGCTCTGAGTTCAAAGCCAGATTGGTCTACACAGCTAGTTCCAGGACAGCCAGGGCTACACAAGGAAACCCTATCTCAAAAAAGCAATAAATGCACACTTCCCCAAACTTTTAAATGAAGTAAGTTTCTGCTTTCATTAGTTTTCTGAGGGGGTCTTGTTTTTTTCTTTCTTGTTCTATGGATTGAACCCAGGGCCATGCGAATGCCACATAAATGCTCTACCACTGAGCGACCCGCCAGATGTTAGGCTTTAAAGACTGGATCTCACTACAAAGGCCAGGCTGGCCCTGAGTTCAGGATCTTCCTGCCTTAGCTATCAGAATGTCAGGGTTACAGACATGCAGCATGATGTCCAGCACCATCTTCATGAAAAGTCTTGACTGCTGTGGATGAAATGTCCAGTCTTTATGTGCTGGCTAATTTTATGTCAACTTGACACAAGCTGGAGTTGTTTGAGAGAAGGGAGCCCTGGTTAAGAAAATGCCTCCAGAAGATCAGGCTGTAGGCAAGCCTGTAGAGCATCTTCTTTCTTTCTTTTTTTTTTGGTTTTTCGAGACAGGGTTTCTCTGTGTAGCTTTGCGCCTTTCTGTGGTGGTATTTTACTTGTACTGAAATGTGATTTTAATTGTATGTTAATAAATAAAGTTGTCTGGGAGTCAGAGCTATTAGAGCCATAGCAAGTGCGTGGCGGCGGTGGCGCACGCCTTTAAGGAGCTGGAGGGTGGTACATTCAGGCAGTGACGAGGCAGTCACATGTTTGGGTTTACAACCAATGAGAAGGCAGAACAGGAAGACTTTAAAGACAGACACACAGGAAGTAGGTCCTTTTCAGAGAGCTCTCTTGGCTGGAGAGGATCCCTGAATCAGGAAGGGTGAGGCTCTTAGCTCTGACCTCTTGGCTTTCTTCTCTGAAATGGCTCTGTGTTTCTTATTTTATAAGACCGTTGGTTACATCTACACCTTTCCTGGAACTCACTTGGTAGTCCAGGCTGGCCTCGAACTCACACAGATCCACCTGGCTCTGCCTCCGGAGTGCTGGGATTAAAGGCGTGCGCCGGCGAGCATTTTCTTAATAGGTGGTACCATCCCTGGGCTGGTGGTGCTGGGTTCTATACGAAAGCAGGCTGAGCAAGCCATAGGAGCAAGCCAGTAAGCAGCACTCCTCTATGGCTTTTACATCAGTCCCTGCCTCCATGTTCCTGCCCTGATTTCCCTCAGTAATAGACTGTTACCTGTAAGTGTAAGTCAAAACAAACCTTTTCCTCCCCAAGTTGCTTTGGTCATTGAGTACATCACAGAAATAGTAACCCAAATTAGTACACTCTATATCCAGTGAGTGGACTAGAAATGTTTCAGCCCTTGGCTCAATGACTTCTTTTTCTTTTTCAAGGTTTTATTTTGTTTTACGTGTATGTGTCTGAGTGTATATACATGTGTGTGCAGATGTCTGTGGAGGCCAGAAGAGAGCATCAGATCCCTGGAACTGGAGTTACAGGCACTTGTGAGTCCCCTGATGTAGGTGCTGGGAACTGAACCCAGGTCCTCTGTAAGAGCAGCAAGTGTTCTTAACTGCTGAGTCATGGTTCCAGCCCCCCCTCAAGCTTCCCGATAACATCTAATATTAGCAAAACTTCTACTGTCTTTTTTTTTAAAATAATGCTACTCTGTATCCTTACTACATACTTGGCTATTTGACTTATTTTTATTTTATGCGTCTATTTGTCTGTGTGAAAGTGTCAGATACCCTGCAAGTGGAGTGACAGACAGTTATCAGCTGCCATGTGGGTGCTGGGAATTGAACCGGAATCGATAATGCTCTTAACCACTGAGCCGTCTCTCCAGCCTCTTCTATTGTCTTTTATAACCTTGGATTTTCCTGGTTCTAATCTTTCATCTCCCCCCTGCCCCGTGTGTGTGTGTGTGTGTGTGTGTGTGTGTGTGTGTGTGTGTGTGTGTGTACATACATGCATGCGTGTTGTGGTATTTACCTGTGTGCATATGGGATGTCGGGTGTCCTGCTCTGTCACTCTCCACTTTACTCCCTTGAGACAGGAGTAGGAGCTTGGAGCTAGCCAGCAGCCAGCAAACTCCACTCCCCCAGCATGTAATAACAACAACTTTCACAGGGATGCTGGGGATTCGAACTCAGGTCCTCAAGCTTGTGCACCAAGCACTCTTACCCACTGAGCCATCTCCCCAGACTTTGGCTCTAATCTTTTCTTGTTCCTGGGTTCTCCTCTCTCCTACCCAGTGGTTCCTTTTCCTCCTAGATCTGAAAGTGCCTATGCCTCAAGAGTTCTGTTTTTCTCCCCTATCACTCTGAAGAGATTAATTGCATCACCGTTCAAATCAATGCATGTCTCCATCATCTGTCACACTGGATGCAAAGAACCTACTTGTGGGCTTGTCTGTCCTTATGGGACTTCAGGCTCCTCAGTGACAAATGCCCTAGATTTATCTTGGTATTCCCTCTGCCTGGTACACAGCACACACTGGCTCAAATGGGCAGATTCAATCCTTCAAATGACAGTGGAGGTAGACTGGGTTATTACTGTCCCTTTATATGAGTAGGGGACCCCCCCCCCCACACCGCCACACACACCACCACCCACCCACCCACACACACACACACACACACACACACACACACTGCACATCTCAATGAGGTAAATACCAGAGACATAATTCCAGGTCCTGGCTCCCAAAGCATCACGGATTTGGTGGAGAGCCATCCTGATATTGCCAATCTTGAAAGGATAGCGAGGCTTACTGTGGCGCCGTCTTGAGGACCAAGGTCCGATCCTTCTCATGCTCGTCTGAACAGGCTTGCCTTGCCAGCCCCTCTCTTAAAACACAGCCTGCAGGACTGAGCATGAAACTGTGTGTGGCCTGACCTGCTGGCACATGCTGGGATTACCGCCTCCCTCTTCGCACACTCGGCTGTACTATTAATAGAGCTGAAGATTGCATTAGGGTTCTCCCCAGTCTCCTTGGGCTGTGGGCTCACATCAAGCCCGTGATGGGCTAACTCCCCACTCTGTCCCCCCCTCCCGCACCCCTTCTGTTAGGCCAGGCCTCCCATCAACCACTTGGGCAATTCATTTTTTTTTTCCTAATGCTTGTAATTATCTGCGACCCACACTAGTAGACACAAAACCAGGTCTTGCCTTCCTTTCTCATGTAGCATTGGCTGAGCAGGTGATCTTGAAGGCCTGTTTAGAACCCAGAAATGGGGTGAATCTCTATTGAGAGGGCCTCCGGCATCATCACACCCACGAAAGTAAGAGGTTGGCGACAAAATTCACTTTTTTGAGTGCATTTCAAATTGTGTCATGTTCCTTACTATCTGCCTTATACGACGGTTCTGTTTTGGTAGTATTCTAATTCCAGTGTTGATTTGCAAAGCCTCTGGCTCCTCCTGCCATGGGGACAGCACATTTTTATTTGTTATGCCCTCTCCAGGCACCATTATTTTTAGCATGAATGTCTTGCCTAGCAAGCAGTTTGTGCTGCAGCCCTACTCCTTGTTCCCCTTACAGCTAATGCTTCTTTTTCACTCCCCTCTCCCATCTCTATCCTTCTGTGAGTGTCAATACCATGTTTGCCTAAGCAGATTTGATTCCGAGTTATCTGAATTCCCTTCCTTTTAGTTTTTTGAATTTTAGCTGATTGGTAATAATTACAGAAATTGCAATGTGGGCTATTGTGGCGGGTCTTGGCATCAACTACAGGAGAGCCCTCAACTGGTGAGATTTTGATGTCAGAATTTGGTAGCCAGAACTTGAACTCTAGGATGGGAGACTATCAAGGGAGGGGACAGACTCCTCTTCCCTGCTCCACCAGAAGAGGGAACCCACAGTAAAAGGTGCTGCCTCTGTTGACCAGACGAGGGCGCTCACAACCACAGTCCTCCAGAGTGCAAATTTCTCATACAAAGAGGCAATTCCTCACACAAGTCTGCGTAGATGTTGTTGGATTGGTCTTCTGGAGACACAAACAAATGATGGAGTGACACCCTTACCATGCTACGTGTATGGCTGCTGTGGTCACCTTCTGTACCGTATAAATGGGAACAAGAGTTTCTAAAACTAATGTGTAGTCGTGGGTCTGTGAGCCTGTTGGCTGTCTGCGGTGGATGGGCCGAGTGTCAGTGTCCAGAGTGACCACAGAGACTGTTGAAAAGTCCCAAGATACAACTTAGAGAGTGTGTGAGAAGGGGGGTTTGGGGTGGGGGAGACCCTGTACTTCCAGCTATGATATTTAGCCTTGGTGGAGGTGGGGGGGACGCTCCAAGGCCAGCAGAGAGAAGGTGGCCGAGGTACCATGTCAACTGTTTCCAGGTGGAGTTAAAAGGCATAGCTATTTTCTTCTGGGAGCCCGGCCCCTTTCATCAAGACTAAGTTGGTGGCTGATTAAAAAAGAAGAAATGGAAGATTAAGTCTGAGAGGCCAGAGGAGAAAATGGTTTCCAGGTGGGAAGCCCTGGACAGAATGGTGAGGCTGTGCAGCTCCTCTGTGAAGACAGCATGTGCTTGAGCCTACCCTCTCCCCCTCCCTGGCAACACTGGGCGACAGCCAGGCCTAGGCAGCAGAGGGCTTCCTAACAGGCGGGCATGAAGATGTTTAATAAAATATTTACCTCCATGTGTAAGAATAGCGATGACAGAAAGGCACGCAGCAGTTAAACAGTCTCTACCAGACACGGGAGAGCAGCCCTGGGGTATTTTCTTTTCTTTCTTTTTTTTAAGAACGGAAGCTTCCTGTGTAATTCTCGTACCCACCATACTCTGGGAGCCCGCCTCCTGCTGAAGCTGAGAGGCACCCAAGTCAAACTTCCAGCCCGCCGCTGGAATCTCCTAAAGGTGACCGTTTTCCGCTGAGGCTCGCCCACCCTCCCAGGAAGGCCCCTTTCCCTCCGCTGTGGCCATTCTGTAAGTCCTACCGTTCATGAGCAGTCTAGCTGGTGCACCTTGGCTGCGTGCTATCATTTGCAACTGTAGACGAGGAAGGGGAACAGACCGGGGTGAAGGGAGTAAACCTCTTCAACCGGAACACGGGATTTCTAACTCTGTCCAACCTGAACATGGAAAGGAAAAAATAAGAAAAGAAAGCTGTTGGATAAATAAATGTATTTTAAGTTCTTTTCACGCTTTGGCAAAGCTTCTGTAGTCTCTTCCCCAGTTTGGAAAATGAAAACAAAAACAAAACATTTTCTTTCTCGTTGAAGTTAAATTAGACTTTTGCATATGTAAACGTATCACACAAGGTTAGAAGAAAAATAATTACATATAAAGGTGTCAGACCAGTAAGGGTGTTTAAAAACCATTAATTTTGCTTTCTCTCACATCCTTCATCTTTTTGAGGGTTTTTTTTTGGTTACTGTTGTTCCCCCCCCCTCTCACCCCTCCACCCCCCACCCCCAGTTACTTCCTACTTCCAGTGGCTTTCCCGTACTACACAGTGCCAGAGGAAGGGCCGACTTAGGAACTCCATACACATGCTCATTTTCTATCAGAGGAACACAGACTAGCCCTGGACTTGGTAGTCATGGTTCCTGAGGAAAGAAACTATTTATTTATTTAAAGAAAATACAAAGGCCCCATTACTTTTCAACGGGGAATTTATACTTGGTGAAATTTTCATGAATAAAAACTCATTTCACTAAATGTTTTCTAGTAAAAATACAGGTCATTTTTATTTTGGGTGCAAAGTCTGGCGGGTCTGTTTTGAAAAGTGAAGGCTTGTGAACGTCTGGGAGGCGGAGAAATGAACAGACTCTTTAATAAGCAAGGCGCCCAGCATGGCAGAGAAATGCAATACCAGAAAGTAAACAGAGCATTGTGTGAAAAAGAGCAAGTTGAAATTAATCTTGCTTTTCCAATTTGAAAACACGCTCGTGGTTGTTAGCAACTGAGTCAAGACATTTAAATCACATATATACTTTTCTGTCTTGACAGTGACCTTTTCTGAGTATGCAGTAGGGAGAAGAAGATGAGCCAAGCCACGCTCCTGAAAGAGCATTTCAGTTAATTGAACATGAAATGTGTTGCAATCTGATCACATTAATAATACACGATTGCTGTTCTGTAGCTAATATGCAGTTCATTTGCTCAGGGTCCAACTAAAGCATTCTACAAATGTTAGCATATGAATCCTGCTGCAAACCTATACACTAAGCAGGTTGTATACAGTGCATCTTGAAGGATCTTTGTATTAGTTATCTGGGCTGTGTAACAAATCGCTCCAACACTCACTAGTTTCAGGAAACACTAGGTTTACTGAACGGTGGCTCAGTGGTTAAGAGCACTCGCTGCTCTTGCAGAGGACTGGGGTTTGGTTCCCAGCATTGACATGGTGGCTCACAACCACCTGTAATTCCAGTTCTAGGGGGTCTGATATGCTCTTCTGATTCTATGGGCACCAGTCACGCACATGGTATACATACACACATGTAGCTAAAACACTCATACTCCTAAAACGAAAATTTAAAAGTCTATTTGTAAAAAAAAATTAGGGTTATAAAAATCAGGCATATTTAAAATGACGAGCAACATGGGTGCTTGGTAAAATGCTTACCTATCATGCACAGAATCCTGGGTTCCATCCCCAGCACCCCACATGGTGGGCATGGTGTTACATATCTGTCATCCCAGCACACAGGGATGGAAGATTCTGGATTAAGAGCATTTGCTGCTCTTTCGAGGACCCAAATTGGTCTCAGCACCCATGTAGGGTGGAGCTCGACCTTCAGTAATTCGTCAGCTCCAGGGGAGCCGACGCCCTCTTCCAGTCTCACCCAGCACATGCACAACCATGCCTACATACACATACACAGACACATACATAAAAATAAAAAAAAAAAGATCTTAAAATAAAACATACAAGGCAAAAGAGGAAGACATAGAAAAATGTGTGACTATAGTGGAGGATTTTAACAGTTCTTTTGCTACCTCTATTAACATACATTTCAAATACAGACAGAAAAATTTGAGAAATTTTGTGAGAGACTGGCAAGTCCAGCATATAAAATATTTGAATCTTTAAAATCATGTATTTTGTATATTACATTTGCGTCATGTATGTCTGTACATGTGGGAGCATCACTGTACACACGTTGGGGGGTCAGACGACAACTTGCAGGGTGTCGGCTCTCTCCTCCCTCCCTTGACAACAAGGCCTTTACCCACTGAGCCATCCTGCCAGACTTCTATCACAGAGAACTTTTAATGTGCCCCTTTAAAAAGTGACATATGAAATAAACGAAATACTAGCAAGGCTACAGACAATCTAAATGGAATTAGCGAGTTTGATCTGGTCAGGTCCATGCAGAAAATTACTTAACAATAAGTGACATACACTTTCTAAAAATATACAAAGTATTTATAAAACATTGGGCATGTACCAAAGCAAGCTTCAGTCAGTCAAAAAGTTTGATTCACGTAGAAAGTGCCTTTTGAAAAATTCTAATTCAGTTGGTTACATATGAATAACATTTTCAAATACTTTTCACTTTTATATATTCTTTTAAAAATTTATTTATTTTTGTTTTACGTGCATTGGTGTTTTTTTGCCATGAGTGTCCAGTCCCCTGGAACTAGAATTACAGACAGTTGTAAGCTGCCATGTGGGTGCTGGGAACTGAACCCGGGTCCTCTGGAAGAACAGCCAATGCTCTTAACCATCTCTCCAGCCCCTAGAAATTCTTATTATTGCTAACTAGATAATCAGTTAAAAGTCTCCACATCTTGGGGAATGCAGTTTGAGTGATACCTAGGTGAAGTTTGTAACCTTATAAATCATAAAATGGAAGTGTGAAACAATTAATTAGGTTGTACATTGTGGCACACGGCTATAATCCTAGTATTTGGGGGCTATGAGAGACCCTGTCTCAGAAAAACCAGCCTGAACCAAGTAAGACGTACTAACTGTGCCATCAAGAAACTAAGACAAGGCTGCCAGAGGCTGGGAGTGGAGCAGAGCGCTAGAGAATTCACCAAGTAAGTATGCGTGAGGTTTTGTGTTCGATACTCAGCCCTGGAAAAAAGAAAGGGGGCAGTGAAAAGTAACAGAATACATTGGAGAGCAAAAAGAATGAAATGAAATAACGTTCAGTAGTTACACGTATAATCTCAGCACTTAGGAGTACATTTTTTTTTTAAAAAAAGATGTAATACTACGTAATACTCTTATTCTTAAGTGGTAAGGAAATAAGATATATCAGACCAAAAAGTAATGAAACAGGAAAAAAATAGTTACCAAAAAAAAGAAGACAAACAAACCAAAACCTAAAACATGATTTTTTTTTAAAAAAAAAGTTGTAGAAAGTAAACTCCAGTTAAAAAACACTCAGACCGGATCCGGGTTCAACTCCCAGCACCCACATGGCAGCTCACAGCTGTCTGTAACTCCAGTTCCAGAGGATCCGATACCCATGGTAAAACACTAATGCACATTAAAAACAAACAAACGAAAACAAACAAAAAAGCCCACTCAGACAGGGGCTGGGGAGAGGGGAGCTGTTAAAAGCAAGAACTGCTCTTACAGAGAGGCCTAGGTTTGGTTCCTACCACTCACAGGCAGTTCACAACTGTTTATAAGAAACACGCACCAAAACTAAACAAAAATAAATAAATACATCACAATTTAACTCTCCCCTTACAGATCTCGGAGGAGCATACACAAGGTCCCAGGTTTGACCTCAGCTCTACAGATAAAACAAAACAGACCAAATCCCTCCAAGAACAACACAGTCAGACCTCTGGCCCAGTTGATCTAGATAAGGAAAGCCATGTGGAGCATACCTTTGGGATGAAGCTGATAAGCATTATAGAAACCACTGAGTTTAAGGTATGGTACAAGAGAACTATTAGCCGAAATTTGTTATTGTTAGGCATTTGAAAACCCAAATGGCAGCAGGGTATGGTGGTACACGCCTCTTTAATCCCTGCACTTTGTGTGTGTGTGTGTGTGTGTGTGTGTGTGTGTGTGTGTGTGTGTGCGCGCGCGCGCGCGCGCGCAGAGGCAGGAGGATCTCTGTGAGTTTGAGCCAGCCTGGTTTACAGAGCAAGTTCCAGGACAGCCAGGGCTACACAGAGAAACCCCTCTTGAAAAACCAAAGCCAGTCAATCAACCAGCTAAACAAACAAACAAAAACCAAATCAATCAAACAAACAAAAAACAAATGGAATGGATAATTTCCTGGAAAAATATAGAAAAATTAAAAAAAAACTGAAGAAATTTATAATTATAAAGAAATGGAATCCATTGTTAAAAAAAAAACCTATGAAATGGCTATCCCAGACCCGGAAGTTTACCAGAATGTTCTAGAAAACGTTTAAGAATAAATATCATCTTTTTGTTGTTTGTTTGAGATGGGCTCTTATGTATTTTTGGCGGCTCTAGGACTTACTATTCGGATAAGACTGACCCTGAACTTACAGTGATCCTCCTGCCTCTGCCTCCCAAGTGGTGGGATTACAGATGTGTACCATCTTTAACACATTGTTCCAGAAAGTGGGGGAGAGGAGAGAGCAGCATTTTACCATTTTAGGAGGCCGGTCTAAACAGACAAAAGCATTAAGGGGAAATTGTAGCCAATTTGACTTCTGCACATGACCACACAAACACACAAAAAAGGCTCTAGGGCAAAACAGACAGCGACACTCACTCATCTGTCAATCCGTCCCCCACCAAAAGTATTTATTGCCAACCATGAACCAGCAGGTACTGTACTGGTACAAGGAGAGCAAAAATGGATGGGAGCCCGCGGCCTGGCTGAGATGGGCAATAAAGCAAATGATCACACAAGGAAAGGTACACAGAGGACCTTCTGCTGGGTTAAGTGTCTATCAAGAGACATTTGACCTGGTCAGAGAAGTGTGGGAAAGCTTTCCAGGCATATAAATGGACTAAGAGTCCTTGGGCAGCTGTGGGAGGCTGTTCCAGGGCCTTGGGTGAGAGAGGTCTGATATACAGAAGCAAGAGAGAGAGAGAGAGAGAGAGAGAGAGAGAGAGAGAGAGAGGGCTTTGATGAACCAGTGAGATGGTTCATTGGGTAAAAGTTCCTGCCACGCAAGCCTGACCTCACACCTGAATTCAGCCTCTGGAACCCAGGAGAAAGGAAGAACAGACTCCTGAAGGTTGTCCTCTGACCACAGACACACACGTGTACAATGGAAAGAAACGTAATAAAAAAAAGATGGATTTGAGCGATCTTTACGAGGTGAATTCCACAGACGCCTGGGTGAGCTTGCACACAGTGAGGTCAGAGTTCAAGCATGTTGTCTCCAGGCTGGCTGAGGACATTCATTGACAAGGATTCCAAAAAGAGGGGAGAACAGTCTGCGTGTGGCTTTGGCCATGTTGCATCTAGAATACCTTTAGGAAGGGGAAGTGGAGATGAATAGAGAAGAGGACACTGAGCCGAGCCTGGAACTCTGGTGAGGTGAAGGTTGGACATTTGGAGTGACATCAGCATGTAGGTGGTATTTAAATCCAATCCTGCTCAGAAGGTCATCCGGGGACGAGGTACCTGGAGGAGAGGATCAGGCTGGAGAAGCACACCAACATTTAAAGGGAAAGCAGAGAATCAGAAGAGGGCAAGAGGAAAGGTGACCCACGACCAGAGAACCCAGGGGAGTGTGAGAATGGGCAGAGAGGGGAAGGAGGAAGTCTCAGGAAGGAACAGCCTAGCCCGGTAGAGATCTTCACTGGTACCCTGAGAGAGCCAGCTAGAGAAGAATTGCAGAATCTTACAAATAAATACCCCAGTGCAAAGGGCAGCAGCAGCCGGGTCTGGGGGACAATGAAACTGCTCTGCGTGTTTATCCTGGTGGGCGTCATACAGTCTGGACGTTTGTCAAAACTCAGAATCACAGAGCAAGGGAAGGTCTGTAACCAAAATGTTACCACCTGGGGAAAACAACACCAAACCAACCAAAAACCTGCAGGAGGTTGGGCATGTGGCTCCCTTGGTAGACTGCCTTCCTTCCCGGCAAGCCCGAAGCCCTAGGTTTGATCCCTAGCATCGCATCGCATAAACCTGGCATAATCCCAGCAGCAGAGGCAAAAAGATCAGCCATTCAAGGCCATCCTCTGCAATCTAGGGAGTTTGCCATCAGCCTGGGCCACAGGAGACACTATCTTAACAAAACAATAATCTGCGAAGGGAAAATAAAACTTGGTGGTGGTGGTGATGGGGCCAGTGGCAGCTAGAGCTCTGGTGAGGATTCAAGGCCAACCTGGGGTGGCAAGATTGTCTCCGATAATACCAAACTAAGTAATAACAATGGATGGATGGAGCCTTCCCCTTGAGTGCTTTATCAGGCTCTGGCTTGGCCTCTGCAGTGCTAGGAGCCCGGTCCCCCCAGGTTTTCACTCAACCCACCACTTAACAGTTCAAGTCTACGTCAGGAAGGCAGCTACCCACTTCTGCCTAGTGAGGGACAGCTTGGATAGGTACGCTGCAGAGCCAAAGGGCACTGGACCTTGGCCAGGGTTCCTCTTAGGGACTAACTGGTTGAGATGGGAATACAGCCTGACAGCATGGCACCTTTGGGACTCCCATATTCAAGGAAGGGGCTGGATAAGGAAAGGAGGCCTCTCTACCTCTGATGGTCTGTGGTTCTGTGGTAAAAGTCCAAAATATAATCCAATTAGCTGTGTCGCCTGTATGTTGTTATTGAGCGTAATCGCAATAAACAACTACCAACATAACATGCGGCTCTTTAACACGTGGGTCCCCAGATGATTTGAGAATCAGTTTGGTTGGAGTGTCGGGAAACGGTATGGTGTGTGGTTTGAAGTCTTATGAAGTGCTTCCTAGAAGTTATATTCAGTAACCATTCATAATAAAACATGATCCATGTAAACTGGCAATTAAAAAGGGGACTTTTACATTGTGCTCTTCAAACGCTCCACCCTACCCCATCAATCCTGTCAGAGAGGCATTTTCCCAGTTTAGGGGACAGAGAGATTGAAAGTCCTGAGCACTCAAGGCTTTGGCTGGTGTTGAGATTTTCCAAACGTTCCGAAACCCATAGTGGGCACGGCACAGTTTTGGTGTTGAGTGTATTCCATTGTCTCCTAATTCTATGAAAATTAATGGAAAAGTGTTAATTGGGCATCAGTGCATGCTTAACATTAATCAGGGCATTTGATGAACCACAACTTTATGTTGCCCCTCATGCCATATTAACTTGGTTTATTGTAATAATTTAAAACAATAAGGATAATTGTATCCGTACTCTTTTAAATACCCCATAAATTGAATACAGCCTGAATCTGGCCAGCACGGAATCCGAAGTGTGCAATGTCTCTGGGAAGCTACAAACATCCTTTTGGAGTTTACACTTCTCCAGGGGAGGAAGGGAGCTTTTACTAAACACCTACTGCGTGCCAGGATCCGCGAGGCACCTTATGGCTCCGAAAACGGGGGAGGGGGACGCTTTGTTACCTCAAAGACCTCCCCCAGGTCTTGGGAGATCTAGGGCCATTTCACTCTGACGCACTGTTACTCTACATAGGAAGCCCGAGTAACTTTAAACACAATAAACAAAATAGGTAACAGACGAATAATCGGGGCGGGGGGAGGTTCTGAAATAACCATCCATCCTAGCCACCCTCGAGACGCTCCCCCACTACCACTCATTCTGTATAAACATTTGCTTGTGAACCCCAATCATTTGACCTTGACCCCTAAAAGCCCACTTTATTATTATTTTTAAATCGTGGTTTGAGTAACGCGCAAACCCCGTCTTGAGTGTTTTCTCGCCCCCTGGTATCGCGCCTGTTTCTCAAAGTTCCAAAATAACCTTCGCGGGCACGGCTCCGTACCTCTGCCGGGGGAGGGCGGGGAGCCGTGCAGGACGTGCCGGTGTGGAGCGGGAGCCAGAGAACTTGCCGCGCGAAGGGAAAATAAAACTTGTGGCTGGTGTTTGTGCGGGGGGTGGGGGTGGGGGGGGTGTCTCCTCCATCCCGAAGCCCCTCCGATTCCCGGGGTCTCGGGGACCGCACCGGGAGCGCAGGGTGTGGGTGTGCTCCCGGCGTCCTTGACCTAAATTTCCGCGCGGTGGCTGGAAACCGGGGCACAGAGGCAGGGCGGGCGGCGGGTGCCACCTCCAGGATCGGGCGCAGGGACCCGAGAACTTGAATGGCTAGCGCGAACTAGGGGGGTCCGGGGCGCTGCCGCCTCCCCGCCCGGCGAGCCGCCCGGGCTGAGCTCCCCGCGCCTCCCCCCTCCCCCACACCCAGCCCATGTGATCTGAGCCGACTCGGGGTGCACTTCCCGGCTCCCCGCCCCGCTGACGTGGGCCCCCCTCCCCCGCCTCGAGTCTCGGGGCTCGCGCGCCGCCCCCGGTGGGTCCCGCTGCCACGGGGGGCCGAGTGTGCGCGCGCGGACAGGCGGGGCGGGAGGAGGGGGGGGGGGGAAGCCGAACGGGGTGCGTGACGTCACCGCATTGGTTACACGACGTTCTAGAACTCCGCCCCACGTGCGCGGGGAGGAGGGGGAGGAGGAGGAGGAGATGGGGGTGGGGAGGAGGAGGGGGAGAGGTGGGGATGGGCCGGGGGGGGCGGGGACGGGGGGTGTGCGAGGCGGCGGGGCTGAGCTGAGCCGAGCCCACGTGTGACGGGCTCTCGCCGCTGGCCCGGCTCGGCGCTCGCGGAGCTTCGCAGCCGCCGGGCGGGGGGAGGAGGCGGGGGAGGAGGGACGGAGATCTGGGGCTCGGAGCCGGCCGCCGCTGCGCTCCGCTTCGCTGTGGGGCTCGGTGTGTCGGGGGTGGGGGGGCGGGGGGGCTCCGCTATGGAGGCAAATGGGAGCCCAGGCACCTCGGGCAGCGCCAACGACTCCCAGCACGACCCCGGGTAAGTTTCCAGCCGCTGCCCACCGCGCCGCCGCCGGCTCGCTCGGGGCTGTGCGGGCGACGGTGCGGAGCGGGGCATCCGCGCGCCCCCCGCGCCCCCGCGCGCACCCCTGGGGCACTCGCGCACCTTGGGGTGGCGTGGGGCGGCCACCTTCTCCCCCAGCCCACCTCCCGGCTCGCGCTCGCCCGCTCCCCCCCAGCTTTCCTTTTAGCTTTTGTAAGTTACACGTCAAAATGGCCGATCTGACATCGGTGCTCACTTCGGTTATGTTTTCTCCCTCTAGTAAAATGTTTATCGGTGGACTGAGCTGGCAGACCTCACCAGGTAAGGGAGGGAGGGGGGGACGCCTGGGTCCCCCCCTTCTTGGTTTCTTTATTGCTCTTTGTTATCCCAGTGTAAGAGCCCCCCCTCCCCGCCATTGGCTCCCCACTTCTCCTGTGCAAGGTTATTTTTTTAAATAGCAAATCCTTTCCGAGCCCTCTACGCGACCTCTGTTGCCGAATTTCCCCCGCGTGTGCAAAAATATTGCAAAAACAAAACAGAATAGCAACAGAAAACTACTTTTGCTTTTTGTCCTTGATCAAAATTTGCATTGCTTTTTCCCTCTCCACACCTTCTCCCACCTCCCCCCCATCTCTCTCTTTCTCTCTCTACAGATAGCCTTAGAGACTATTTTAGCAAATTTGGAGAAATTAGAGAATGTATGGTCATGAGAGATCCCACTACGAAACGCTCCAGGTAACGCATTTCCTTCTGGATTTTGCCTTTATTTTAGAACAAAGTTTTAGTTTTATTTTTGGAGGTGTCTTCGGAAGTAGCTAAGCGGATTTAGAATGGGGCTGAGGCGCGTGGCTGGGCTGGAACGTTGCTCCCCCCCCCCATAACCCCAAAGGTTATTGTTAATTAGGGCCGAACTCTGGATTCAGAGACGCCCATCTCTCCCGCTTGAAGTCATTTTCCTGTCGCGTCTTGTTCTCTTGTGTAAAATGACATTCAGCTTCATCCACTTTCCACATAGTTTTTTTTTTTTTTTAAATTTAAATTTTTGAGTGTATGTCTTTTTCCCTTTCCCAAACTCTGAAGTCCTCTCTTTGGGAGGTGGATGAATATCTTAGTGCCCGGTTTCCTTCGGCATAAAACAAAGCCTTAAGAAGGGAAGAGGAGGAGGAGGAGGAGGAAACTGAGGTGGCCAGAGTGGAGAGGCACCAGCGTGTTCCAAGTTACCTCTAGCCGCCCTGCCCCCCCCCACCCCCCCGGTCCCGCTTCCCCCACTAACCTTGGTATTTTTCCCTCGCAAGGCAGAGAGGGCTGTGGGCTAGGGGGAGAGTAGAGGGAGCTGGTGGGGATGGGGGTACGTGGGGGGGGGCAACTCTCGTACCCCAGTCTGCAATACAGGGTCTCCTTGTTGCTTTCAATGGTGTCACATTTTGTTTTTCTCCCTCTTTGTCTCCTTCCAGAGGCTTCGGTTTCGTCACCTTCGCAGACCCAGCAAGTGTAGATAAAGTATTAGGTCAGCCCCACCATGAGTTAGATTCCAAGACGGTAGGTTGCTTTGTTGTTGTTGTTGTTGTGGTTGTGGTGGTTGCTGTTGTTTGCCCCTTTTCGGCGCCGGTCTGGGCATTGACAGCCCTGTTTAAAGGGACAGCGCCTTCTTCTTTTGCTTCTACGCTAGAACTGGGTACTTTTAAACAGCTAGCGAGTTGGCTCAGAAGTTTGCCGCGGTGGCTGGGTTTGGGGGTTTCTTTTGTAGTCTGTCCCCACCGCAGCTTCAGACGCTGCCGGGCCAAGGCTTGTGGGGGAGGGGGGGGGGGTCCGTTCCCTGAGAGGGTAGCCTTCCGCCAGGGGACCTTGCAGAGAAACTCCACCGGAGAGCAAATGGAACTTTCTTTGTCAGCCGAGCCCAGCCTGTGGCGTTGGGATCGGCTTGTAGAAGGGAAGGCACTGCCTGCTTCCTGGTGGAGGGGGCAGGGGTTGGGATCAGGGGAGGGGGGCGCGCATCTTAGGTCCGGGCAACAGGTTTCTCTGGGAGGCCAAGTGATTTGAGATGTGGTTTGAGAAGGAAAGGGAGGGTAGACACTGGCCGAGCCAATTCGGGCATCCAGTGGGGTTACTCCACATGGCGTCGAATTGAAGGCTGATAAGGTTTCCAAGTGATTGCTCCCTGTCCCCCTTTCGGATCCTTTCATTGGTGCGTGGGTACTTTTAAGACGTTAGAAGTTCATAAAATCCAGAATTTGGAGGTGAAAGTCCCTAGGTGAGAGTAAGAGGAAAAAAAAAGATGTCAGTCTGGGATAATAAAGGCAATGATGGAGGAGGCTGGGCAGTCCCCAGTGGTTTGCTTAGCACCCCCCCCTCCCCGCTGGCTTCCTGACTCCCCTCCCTTCCCTGTGTGCTTACCAGAATTTCACCAGGATTTTTACCACTGCTTAAGGCAGAGGCCTCAAGGTGATATTCAGGATGTGCCTTTGGACTGCACAGGATGGTCCTGTTCTGTTGTGAGCTCGTGGGGTGGGGGGGTGGGGGGGTGAGGTAGCTGCCCACGGCAAACTTGACCCTCACTCTCTCTTCTGTAAAGTCCGCAGAATTCGAGGGTCTTCCGAGCTCTTTGGTCTTTTAACACTGAGTGGAGAAGAGCCCCCGTCAACCTTTCGTGCACTTGAATTGATTTTGCAAACTCACCCTCTTTATACGATCCGAGAGGTCAGATGTTGCCCTGACCCCCCCCAGAAAAGGCCTTACACACTTAGATCTCTTTATTAATTGCCCTAGACTTGTCATGCCTGCAGGCTCAGCCTGTTTGTGCCGTCAGATCATTTAATATCAAGAGTAATCATTGATAAGGTGATAAGGAATGTCTGAACAGTTTATTTCTTCCTCCTTGACTTCTTGGCTAGATCACAAAGCTAGGGAGATTTCGCAGGAAAAATTCAAAGCGGATTTGTGATTTCTCGTGCACTCCTTTTGCCCGGGTGGGAGAACTGGAGTTAGGTTTTAGTGGGTGCTGGTTAGTCAGATCCCTCAGGATCCATTGCTGGGCCTTGGGCTTTTCCACCTCTGTTTGTTTTGTAGACATATTTTGATTGCTATTACTTAGTATAACCTAGCTTTTGACTTTGTTTCAACGTTCAGTGCAGGAGGCAGAAGCGGTTGGTTTATTGACATGGAAACGAGGATCTTGTTTACTGTTACCTTAAAAGCTTTGTTTAGGTAAAGGCCATTCGCATCCAAAATAGTACCCTAGTGTTTTCTAGAGGACTAGAGCCAGTGCTAGCTCTGTACCTAAGTAACTAATGTTTTCATTTGGGGTAGTTTTCTTTCTTTCTTTTTTTTTTTAAATAGTTGACTGGGATGTACAAAAGGTTGGGATTTGCCTTCTTCTTGCCTTGACGCCTCCTAGGCCTCGGAGATCTCGGTGTGGAAAACTCTGCACATGGGAGAGCTCTGCTCTCCGTGTGACATGCTGATGTCACCACCACACACGTACAGGGCAGTCCCAAATTGGCTTTTGGTTTTGCGATTTTACTTTATTTTTTTTTAAATCTTAGTACTTCATTTTCTTCGCTGTACTTTTCTCGCCCCAGCTCCCAGCCCTTCCTGGATTGTACCTCTTTGTTTCCACACAAACAAGGTGACTTCTCTCTGCACCTGTGTGTTGTTCCTCGGAGCCATCAAGCCTGAGGAGTGCGTCTTTTGAGTGAACAGAGACGAGCATGTGTCTCCGTTTTGGCGACAGAATGGAAATCCACACCTGTTGTATTTCTTTTGTAGAGAAACTCTAGTCAGTGCTGGGCACACCTGTAGACGCAGTATTAATCTTGTTCCTAGATCCAAGACTTGGGTGTGTTTTAGCTTTTGAACAGTAATCTCTCATTTCTCAGGTGGTGCTTACAAGGTTTGATTTTTAGGTCTTTAAACTACCCTTAATAAAAGTGATTTTTGTCTTTGTATGTCTCACAGGCTGGGCCTCTAAGGGACCCAGGGATTATTTGGGATGGGGGAGGGGGTGGCGAGTGTCTCACCCCTGCAGTTATTCCCAAAGCATTATTTTCTTAAGCGACAGGTTCAGATTTACTTTTTAAAGGGCTAATTTATGATGCGGAAGCCAGAGCTCATAAATAAATAACTTGTAGCAAAACCTGTGTCTTTCTCCACGTTGAGCTGTGCTCAAAAGATGTGTGACGTTTAGAAATCTAATGGAAACCAGTGATGGGATTTTTTTTTCTTTTTAGATTCCTCCCTGTTTTTATCTAGGCAGTAACTTTTTTCTTCTCACGTCAGCTGTTAGACTCAAATGCTTTTGTGGGAATTGTAAAGCTAGTCACTGATGGAGAATCATGTGCTCTGTTAGCCAGCGGCTGATGAAGAGTGGGGAGCTTTTTCCATGGGGTGGAGGTGGGGTGGGGGGAACACCCTAGTCACTGCTAGGTTTCCACTTCTGTCCAGTCATTTTCTTTTTAACCCTCCCTGCAATGGCCCTTCTAAAATGGACTTTGGGTTGGTCGTGTAGTTTTATCCCTGTGGGTTTTTTGTTGTTGTTGTTGTTTTGTTTTTAATCCATGTGTATTTAATTTATACATTTACCTTTCTTTCCCTCTTTTATTACAGTTTTTTTTCTATTTTTTTTTAAAGAAACAAGTCACTGATGCCTGCTTTCTCTGAGATATACCCACAAGAAATGCAAATGATTTTTTTGAGGCAGGGTCTCACTAGAACTCAACTATGGCGTCCCAGGGGGGCCTTCCAACTCTCAGTGAGCCTCCTCCCTCAGCTTCTCACATGTGTAGGGATTCCAGGTGTGAGCCGCCATGCCTGGCTGTAAAAGACCTTCTTGATCATGCTGAGTAACTTTACTTTGCTGACACTAGTGAGTTAATCTGAGCTGAGCATTATGTTGGATATTGTTGATTTGTGACTTTTTTTTCCCCCTTTGGAATCCCCTTTCCCCACTTTGCCAGGGAGAAGAAACAATTACCTATTTACCTACAGCTGGAGGAACATGGCATTTAAATTTTTTTCCTTTAGATAACATTGTACCCATCATTTCTGGCCACACATTGCACATTAGCTCTGGGTACCATTTCGTATTCAGGGTCTGTGGAAGAGAAGTCCCGTGTCTGAGTAACAGTGCATGAGCTCTAGTTTATAAAGCCCTTCCTTCTCTAAAACACATGGTGGAACATTCCAGAAAGGTGAACTTCATAAGTCCCATGGGGAGAAGGATGGTAAAAGTCGACATCAAAGCTGAAGGAGCTTTTGAATTGCCCAAGAAGTTACTAAAAGCTGAGGTTTAAGCCTGAGAAATGAGTGATTAATAATTAGATGGTTGGTTATTCATTTTTGTCCCGTGCTCTCCAAGCTATTTCATTGACTTCTTCCTTTTTTATTTTTTTTACTCCAGATTGACCCCAAAGTTGCATTTCCTCGTCGTGCACAGCCCAAGGTAAGTAGGAGAGCCATGGATGGGATGTTAGCTAGACTTTGAAGTTCCAAACCGAGCACTGGCAGCTGTTGGAGGCTGGGGTTGTGCCTTCAGGGCGTCAGCAGAGGGAGGTGAAAAGCCCAGGTGAGCAGTTCTGTGAGGTATCCCTGCACCTCCAAGTCAGCATGCCAGTATGAGTTCCAAGCATCCAGCTGGGAAGAGGGGCAAATGTGATCCTTCGCAGGAGGGCGTGGCACCACCTGCCGCAGTATTTATTCGAGTGTTCTGTTTATTCTAAAGCAAGGCTGAGATCCCATTAGGAAAAGTTGGACATTTCCCTGTGCCTCTCTATGGAGGGCCCTCTGTCAAGCGAGGCCTTACAATCCGGAGGATTTGGAGAAGAGCAGATTTAAGTTAACAGCTTGTCCTTTCTTGGGGGAAAATAAAACACCTTTCATAGAACCCCCTAAAGTTGTAGATCTGGGGGAGGGAACTAGAGATGTTCTCAGGTTCAGGTCCTCTGGATCAATCAGAGCCAGTAGAAACAAACATAGCTCAGCTTCTGAGTTCCAGAGAGTTGGGGCCTGGATGGAGGAGGTTGAAACACCGTGGCCCATAGGAGTGGCATTGCAAGATGTACTTAAAGGATTGAGAGAGCGCTTGCATTTCTGTAAAGTGTGTAGTCAACAGTGTTTCCCCAGTGCCTGCCAGTTGTGGTTCTGAGGAGGCAGCTGGAGCCAGCCCTGCATGCAGCTCCATCAGGCTTATGGCATTCATGTTTCATTGGTTTTCTGTCCATTGGACCTCAGTAAATCCTGTATCCTTGACCTTCTTGGGGGTGGGGGCGCTATGAAATTTCTAATTGTGGGCGCACAATTGTCGACAATGGCTTTTGGAAAATTCAGTTTATTCCTTTAAGCGAAGGCTCTCAGAGTGGAGGGCCTCTAATCGTACGGAGGAGAAAATGGTTTTGCACGTTGGTAAAGAAATAAGGGATGGTATTTGGAGAATTTCAGGTCTGCAACCTGCCACTTGAATGAGTGAGTGAATCTTTTTTTTAAAAGATGGAATCCACATGCCTTACGTAAGCAGAAGTACATACTTGAAGGTGGCTTTTCCCCCTAACTCCTAAACAGATCCTAGCAATTAATGAAGAGCTTAGATTCCTTTATGTGGTGTAAACTTTGGGGTTGGCTCTAACTGTGTGTTGCTTCCCATGATGTGTGTGAGCCTTCCCATCTCAGAACCAGCAGTGTTTCCTGGGTTTGGAAGAGTTGCTACTTATTCTAGTGTGACTCCTCAAATTTCCAGGTTAGTCATGTGATCACTCCTAACGTGGATCCGATTTCCCTTTAGGGAAACTGGAAAAATCCTTAACTTGGTGACACCGCGGCTCCAGCCCTGTTCCCTCCGCCCCTTGTTTCCCTCTCCCCGCCGACTTTCTTCTTCAGCCAGGGGAAGGTGGTATTTCACGGTAATGTGCAGTGGCATTGGCTTTTCAAACATTCGCCTTGAGAACAAGATAGACAATGTCTGAGACTTGTAGAAGGAAAATGGACTTTGCCCATTTCCCAGCGCAAGCCTGGGGTGTTTGTGAGTTCTCAGACTTTTAGACATGTATTAATATTAAGCCAGTTGAAAAAGACCAATTGGCCTACAAATTCAGGGATTTAGGAGCGGGGACCCTATCTCTTAAAAAATTTAATGACAGGTCACTTTGTAAAGGACTTTGTTATCCTTTATCCACATCTGAATCCCAGCTCTGCCTCAGTTTCTTCGTCTCTGAACCTGGAGTGGATAGCAGCTCCTTCACAAAGGTTTTGTGAAAAATGAAAGCGTGGTCTGGCGAGGGCCTCACAGCGCATCATCGTCACCGTTATTATTGCTGGTTTAATCATCATTAGGATGGCGGTTGTTTGCAAGCTGGACCACCTGGCTTCAGATGCCAGCTGTGCCAGTCATTAACTGTCGTGAACTTGGCCAAATCACTTAGCTTCCTTGAACTTGCTTGCTTTTCTCATAGTTTCCTGTAAGTGAAATAAACATGCTTCTGGAAGGGTCTGATACATGGCGGTGCCAAAGACGGATCCACTGTTATTACTGATGATTTTTGAGAGAGGCCTTGAACTTGCAATCTTCCTGCCTCTTAACCGTTATTTATGGGAGAGCCTCACACTAGTTCTCGGAGAGGTGGAGTGATAATATTAATTGAATGTGTGTACCAGGCACTTTGTGAGGGGGTGATGTGTCACCTCCGTTGGACAGATGAGGCAGCTCAAACATGGAGGGGTTGAGTAGTGACTGATAGAGAAACACACACCTAGGCAATCTGCCTCTATAGTTAGACCCTTGACCAGTGTGTGGTCCTGTTGGGGTACCACTGGGCACTGCCTCCCTGTCAGGAGCGAGGGGACAGGGCTCTCTGAGGTCAGAGAGAGCAGAACCAAAGTCGTTCTGAGTGAAGGTCCAGGTCCTTGGGTTCTGGTCATTCTCCTTCCCTTGTGACGTCATCCAGTTGGAGGACGCTAGTGTTCTCTAACTGACCCCTTGGGGTATCCTTTCAGGTGCTTCTGGGGTTGCTCAACCCAGGTAGGCAGAAAGTTGTTGAGGTGCACATGTGTCATGGTTAGGAGCTGGAATAGCGTAGGCAAAGGACTTGCTCTGTTTGATTATTTTCCCACAGAACTGAGCCTGGCCATCAGGGTTCCAGACCAAGGTGACTGTTGGGGTCGGCACTCCTCCCAGCTGGTAGAAGTCTAGAACTTTGAGTGAAGCCTTATTTATGTTTTACCTTCCTTTCATAAAACTTGTGTGTGTCTCTGTGGGGCTCATGGTGACAGGGCAGACTGTACCCCTCTGTGTGGACTGGGTGAGGCTCTTGTAAACGGTGTGTCGGCTTGTGTTTCAGTTAAAACTCATTTCTCTGCTTCTGGCCGCCCCTCCCTGCTAACGGTTGCCAGAGAAATATTCCGTGGAGGTGTTAAACAAGACGGGTGGAAAGAAGCTGTAACTTGAGACCAAAGAAAATCTGTGGCAGTGAAGAACGGATTTCATACGAGTACTGTCATAATATTCTTTAATGTCTCGTATAAATAAAAATCTGTTTTGTCCAGAATTTTAATGAGCAACGAAGGCAGGCTGTGGAGTCCTGCAGCTCTCCCGTCTCACCCTTTGTGATGCGAATGTTCACAGGGCTTATTAGCGCGTCTAGGGACCACTCTTTGGAGGCCAGTGGCCATTCATTAGCAAAGTTACATTTTCATAAGGAAGTGTTGGGATCGTTCTGTGTCTGCCTATTTCACTGGGGGCATTTCATTTTGTAAAATACGTAAGAGGATTCTGCCCCACCTCCATCTTTTTAAAAATTAAAATGGTCACGATACTCTAAAAAGATGACTTAATTTGAAGCTGCGACAGACCAGAGGCTGACAGAGATCAATCACGCCGGGTCCTTTTTGTGTCTCCTTTGGGTCCAAGTGTCAGCTGCCTGGGAGAGTTTTGTTCCAGCCTGTGGCTTCTTTTTCTTTTGTGGAGGAACCAACAGACTCCTTAGCAGCTAAGGGCGAGAGTGGAGCCTGGGTGTGACTCACCATCTGTCCTAATTGTCCTTGGGTATAAGAACACTGTTTCCTGCTGGACAGTGATGGCGCACACCGTTAATCCCAACACTCAGGAGGCAGAGGCAGGCGGATCTCTGTGAGTTCGAGGGCCAGTCTGGGCTACAAAGTGAGTTGTAGGCCAGCTAGGGCTACACAGAGAAACCTTGTTTCAAAAAATATCAAAAAGCAAACAAACAAAAAAACCAAACAAAAACCCAAAAGTACAATCTCCACTTTTTCCAGTTATTGTTTTCCAAAGTTACTGTATTCAAGTTGACTTCATTTTTTTAATGGACACATCAAAGCATAAACATTGCACAGACATAAAAATAAGTTACATGTGGGGCTGGAGAGATGGCTCAGCGGGCAAGAGCCTTTGCTGCTCCTGGAGAGGACCCAAGTTCTGTTTTCAGCACCCATGTCAGGGAGTCAGACACTCTCCTGATCTCTGCAGGTACTTGCACACACTTGTCCCTCTCTTTCTCTCTCTCTCTCTCACACACAAAACCATTAAAAAAAACTTCAAACAAAAACGACTTATCAGCAGGGAGCATGTGCTGTTTTGATTCCTGTGTGTGTTCACTGTGTCCTGAAACTCGAGAGGCAGAGACCTTAACTGCTGGTGGAGAGAGATCTAGAGCTGTCATTTGTTCAGCCTGCTTCCAGTTGCCTTCAGTGACAGCTGGGGGCCTGTGGACATACCACTGAAATCCCATCAAGCCTCAATTTCCTTCTCTTAAAAAAAATGCTATACTCCTTACTATGTTATTTTGGAAATGAATACAGATTGTCCCTTGGGAGCTGTATATGGTCAAGCGGTACCCAGCACATGTCTGCTGATAGCATTATAGAATTATTATTATTATTATTATTATTATTATTGTTTGTTTGTTAAAGGTCTTATGTATCCCAGGCCAACCTCAGAATCATTTTGCAGCCAGTGATGACCTTGAACTCTTAGTCTTCCTGCCTCTGCCTCCCAAGTTCTGAGATTACAGGCTACCACACCCAGTTTTATGGAGTACTGGATAGTGAACCCAGGGCCTCATGCCTGCTAGGTAGCCACTCTGCTAACTGAACTGTATTCCTACCCTTAGAATTATCTTAATAGAGTCAAAAAAACTGCAAAAGTAAAGTGACTTCAGGAAAAAAAAAAAAACTTAATCGGAATATAAGTCCCCTGGCTGCTTGGAGCTTTTGGTGCTCAGTGCTCAGTAACTGAGTTGAATCCTTCCTGGCGTTTCCTCCCTGGAGGCAGCTGCCACCCGGGCGTGTTCTGTTGGGTGCTTACAAGTCACCACAACAGTTAAGCTCTGGAGGGTTGAGCTAGGAGCCAGGTTTTCTCATTCCCATCTTATCCTTTGACGTTACTTTAGGGTCCTGAAAGGTTCTCCGTGAAGCGTGCGTCCAGATGGGTGCAGT